GATCACCTCTCGGCGAAAAACGACGTAAACAAAATCAAACGATAACGAGGTAAAAACAACAAACACTGATCGCGTCGACCACTACGCACTAAACACGCACCGCCCGAATGACATTGCTACACTGACTAAGCGCGCCGTCGAGTGGCTCCGCAGAGTCGGTGGTGTTCGTTTCAGGTTCACGTTCGCAGTTATCGCGAGTGCGCGCGCGCGCCCGGCGGTAACCACTGCTGTGCGTGGGCCGAGGGGGTAGTGGCGGTGTCGGCGGCGGCGTTGGCTGTGTGAGCGAGATATTTCTCCCCACCAAGACGGTAAATGGAATTCCCGTCGGACGACCGGCCGGTGTAAACAACAAAAACCTCTGCTTACTCCCGAGTTCTGAGTTTTATTCCCCGTTTTCGTTTGTCTTGTTTGTGGCAGGGAGGCGCTCTTGTGATATAATATAGCCGAGTTGTCTTCTCCAAACCGATACTAGAGATGGACAGAATATTTTGATTTTTGTTGTAAACTGTCCCAAAAATCCGGACTCTTGACGGTTATCATTTCGGAGCCGTTAAGTTGCATTATAAACGTTATAATTTGTTTTTGAGTATAAATAATGTAAGTAATGTAAATAACTTTGAGTATAAATAATGTAGTACGTCTGACAACTGTTATCTGATAACGGTCCGTACGAGAATTCGGTTGATTCATAGTGATTATAAGTTATTTATTCTAAAAACCGTTTGCTTTTTTTTAATAATTTTATACATCGTATACAAATACTTAATTCACCAGTACACTACGAATAGTTGTTTAATGGATTGTATTATATTATAATTATTCCAATATACCTAGTTTATCAGTCGATTGTCTACACTAGTACACTACGTCACTATAGACAACGGACATATTAATATTGTTATTTGTGTTTTGTTGTGTGTACACTACGACTACGTCAACACTCCCTTCGTATTTCAACAGTCGATGTCGATGTATGGATTCTATCTACTATACCACATGGTCACTTGTCACGCGACCACCGTGGTATAGAGAGATATGTAAATCAGATCTAAATTCGACGAAAACTTGCAGGCAATAAACGGAGAGGGGTTTCCATATTTTCCCAATCGATTATGCTCAAAATTAAATTTAAAAATGTATCTCCCCACGGATACAAATATTGACGATTGAAGGAGTATTCGGAATAATTTGGCGAGGAAAAACCGAAATTATTGACGACTTCGTTGAAAAATAGAAAAAAAAGCTTAAATTACGACAGCTTCAATATTTAGCTATCCATTGCAATTGTCGACGGGGGTTTTCCGACGACAAAGAGCTACGGAAATACGACAATTGATAATATATACGAATTTGAGTTGGTTGAGTCAGTTCATAGTTCATGGTTCTGTGTAAGGCCAATTCCCATGTCCGTGCAGACTACAGACATTAATTTTATTTCTGAATATTGCTTAATATAAAGTTTTTAAAATTCACCGTGTACTCGTTAAGACAAGTGTCGAGTACACTAATAGCGTAAGCTACTAACTAGTTGCTACCAGTCAGGTACTAAGGTGGTGCACACGATAAGTACCAACACTTAGCGCACTTAATACTTTTATAATTACGTTTAAAGGTGATTATTATTAGTCTCGTTAATCGACCTCATAGGATATTCCCGCTAATCAAAAACCACCAATTTTTAGAATTGTATCTTCAAGTAATATATTAATAGAACCCAAATATATAAAAAATAATTTCCAACAATATGCATAGAATATAATGATTGCGTGCGCAGGAAGGAAGACGTTATTGGATATTTATAAGAACCCCGTATTTCCGTAAGTCGTTAACAGGAAATAATAAATATAAATACGAAAGAATATTATTAAACGTCCAGAGTGCAACAATCGTACTATAAATATTATTAAATAATCATAAACATTCTTTCGTTAAAATACCTATTAATAAATACAAATTATAAAATGTTTTATATTTTTGAATGGAGTAAAGTAAAATTTCGGTAGTCCAGTTTATTAACGGAATATAATACAAAAGGAAAACGTTTAGGTATGATGTATAGTGTAAAATACAAATATATAATCAAAAAAAATATTATAAATTACTTTTTTGAAATTAATTCGCAACCGATTCATCAACGTTGAATAACATTGTACCATAAAAAAAAAAATGACAAAGAGAAACTACAATATGGTTCTAAATAAATACATACATATTATTTTGTTTCACGTGTTTATGTATATGTATTATGTTTATATATTTATCTTTTCATACTAATTTGTTCCAATTGTCTATCGTTTTATTTGACAATTGCCATTTATACGAGGCTATTTTCCGAGTTTTTTTTTTATAGCGCAATAATTAAATAACTGTCATAGAATAAAAGAAAATACAGATTTTATTGCACCATTTCCGGTGCCGCCCGATTCGTGATTTACACCACTGTTGGCCGCTTCATTATTGCCTATTGGTCTACAGGTTTTTTTTCCTGAATGTAAAGGAGAAATAGTTCAAACCTATTAATAAAACACAACCGTTCTGGTCCGGTTGTTATTATATAAAAAAAAAATAGTATGATATGGTCGAAAAAAGCCAGCGTTATGATGGAGTCAAGAATTTTTATTTTTATCGATAACACAAAACGGTAGGCATCACCGTCGACCACCGCGGTGTATTCTCTCTTTGTGTGTATTAAACTTCTATCGGACTAGTCACTAGACAGTATATTATTATTATTATTATTATTATTAATATTATTACTCGTAAATAAGACGTTCACTACAGTGGGGGGCGTTGTGACTTTGTTCCTTCGACAGTGGCTGGCAGACGAAATAAATTGAAATCAAACAAAAACGATTAGAAAAAGACATACCGAAGAATGACGGTGGTCACTGGTCATAATATGCAGTAGGTAGGCAGTTTATAAATTGTGAGTACACGTGGCTACCTACCACCGAGGTAAAGAACTACTGCACATTTTGAGGGTCGATGTACTTTATTGCATTTTTGTATTCAACAAAAAGGCCACCGCATTAAGAAACCAGAATTTTATTTATGTCCTCTGACTCAGTGGCTCCTAGGCATTATGAAATATAAATAAGCATTTTCTCCTGCGTACGTCCGTTTTCACCACAGGGCACAGACATACTATTGTGTGGACACTATAGGATTTCTACAGTCCCTTTTAGGGACCCCGTTGTTTTTTTTTAAGGTGATCACGAATTTTGAAAACAATATGCGTCGACAAAATGTCTCCGAATTTTATATTTTATTTATTTAATGTATAGCTAATATTAATTATGGAAATATGTAAAGCCCCTTAAGCCTCAAGTGACTGCCTTATCGTATTATTTACCATTCAGAACATACACTCGTTAGACAGATATATACGAGATTTAGGAAATAATTTATATTTTAACAATAGAAAATTATTATTGTTTATAAATATTTTAAAGGTTTTAGTGTTTAATTATAATTTTTCGAATTTGGAGAAAACGACGTTCAAATGAATATTTTTGGAAAGTATTCAAAAACCATGTAAGAATGCAAAACACAATTGATTTTATTTATATATAATTATGTGTTTTTATTCTCACGTAAATGAATTTTAATAAAATAAATCAATGGTTGTACAATATTTTCTTTTGAACTTTAATGCTCTTCGAGCTACAGACAGGTTTATTGATATTCAGATCCGATTTAACGTTTTATTAAATCATAAATGTTACAGTATATTCTTTTGTGTACATTAATGCTCTTCGAGCTACAGTTTAAGTTTATTTGTTCGGGGAAGAATATAAAGACTCACGTAGTAGATAGTTGTTCTCCACGTAATCGGCTTTTGTCAACGTAGGCACACTCCTCTGGCACTGGCACGGGGTAGGGCGTAGTTGAGCTCTTCAAATAGCAGCAGCGGTAATAACAGCGGCGACTATATTGGTAACGGCGGCGGTATTTGCAACGGCGGCGGTTCTTACAACGGCGGCGGTTCTTACAACGGCGACTATGATACCGGCGATTATAACAACGGCGGCGTTTGGGGTAGCGACTCCCGAGAGATGTGGTATCTAGCCTGTCAATACGGTACACGTATTACTAGATACCACAAATCTTCTACAGCTACGGGCCACTCCTCTGGTTTAGGTGTGTGCAGCTTGTCAATACGGAGTACGTATTACTGCACACAGTAAACGAGAGGAGGGTAAAACGGACAACGAACGGGTATTAGAATAATTGACTTTTCGTCTAATTAAACTCCGCGACACGAGACGAGTTTCGATACGATCGGATTTGAATTGAATTGTTGAACTGGTGTTTTCGACCAGTATATCTGTGGTCGCGCGCCTTACGATAGTAGGTAGTACCTGGTTTCCATGTGTGTACATTATGATGATTTTCTTTAGTTTATGTATCTCTTTGAAGGTGGGCGGCTGCAAGTCTTTTACCAAATGGATGATGATGAATCGGTTAATATGATTTTTATTACATTTGGAACTCTCGGATTCATACATAATTACGCCAATTATCATTATCTAAGAGTGAGTGCACCCGCACGCACTCTAGGTAATTTATCATTGCTTCTTGATTACAACGGCTTATTCTGAACATTGTCATTACAGACTTAATAAGTTTCACTGGTAGTGCAGGCACTTTCTTTGCATAGTTACGAAGCTCCTATGAACTTTGGTATAGTTCTATAACGTTTCAAAGTTATGTTCGGTCGTGCATGCTACCACGTGCATTACTCATGTCGCGCATGTACGCACTACTAGAGCGCGCGCGTTGTTTCGCAATCGACATAATTCTGTCTCGTTACATAGTCCCCTTTTATATTTAATTTTTTTTTTCTTTTATAACATGAAAAATTAATAAGAAAGGGAATAAAAAGAAAAAATAAAAATAAATGTAAATCTTTTACGTATCCTCAGATGCCTTTTCTGAGAGACTAGTCTTTAAAATAGAACTGGAAAATAACTTTATACTTCAAACTTGAGCTGCTTACTTCATTGTTTTTTTGGTATTTTGGACAGCCATAATAACCTCTTCCTTTCGCGGTTACTGATGACTGGTGCTATCGGAGGAATGTCTTCAATTCCTTCGATGTCTTGTTTCTCTTCGAGGTTTATCATAATTTCCAAATCAATTTCTGATCCCTCTGGCTGATTTATTGGAATTTCTTCAGCTGCCGGCGCGTTCTCTGTGGTGTCGGCGGCTACCTCTTCTTGCTCGGGTGGATTCTTGACAATCGGCACCGCTGTTATAGTATCAGGCATAGTAAAAGTGGGTTCTAGTTTATACCTGGTTCTGAGTGCTGATCTCTTACGTTCGTACTGGGCTTCGATCTTGAGTTGCTGTGCTGTTTTTTTCGGTTTATTATGAATTTCGATATTTTGTACATGATATTGTCTGACGTCAATATTGGTCTTGTTCTGTTCAGGTTTTGATAATTCTATCATATCCGCTTCTAGATGTTCGGGTCCAAATAATCGGCTGTATTTGTTTTTTAATCGGCGTAGTAGTAATTGTTTTTCATGGGGTTCAGTGGGCCATGGGTGTGCCATCATAAACGCGATATCAGATCACCTAAAATAAACAAAAAGATGATTATGATTATTTTATTGGCACAGGTGGTCGACATCCTTCCAGTATATTGACTAGTGGTTGATGTTCGTGCCGCCCTCTCCAGGGTCTGGAGGAACATATAGTTTGACATTTTTCATATTGTGTATTTGCGTTTGACCTGACTCCAACTTGATTGTAACGGTGTTATTTCCTCTTACTTCAACTATATCATATGGTCCACGATATAGTAGGAAAAATTTATGTATAGTTTTATCTTCTGCAGATGACAATCGATGTTCTTTGACTAACACTTGTTGTCCTGGTTGATAGGTGATAAATCTTTTGTTCTTATCTTTGGTTTGATTTCTTTGTTGGGCGCATTTTTTCAAACGTTTCTTCACTAATTCACATATGACCCTCTCTGAAGTTGTGTTCGCTTCTTTTGGGAAATCTATTAATTTGTCAATCGTAAGCTTATGGCGGGTTCCACACATAATCTGTTGAGGTGTGTATCCTGTAGATTCATGCGTTGTATTATTGAGCCAAAATTCGATTGTGTGTAGCCATTGTACCCAACTAGTGTGTTTGGCGTGGCAGTATGTTCTCAATATTCTACCAATCTCCCGGTTGGCTCTCTCCACGGGGTTGCTCTCAGGATGATATGTGGTAGTATATAATGGTTTCACTCTCATGCATTGTAGCTGATCGTACCACTTGGTATTGTTGAATTGCGTCCCATTGTCGGTCAGTATTTGCTTAACCGGTCCGTACTTCGGCATATAATCTTTTGTTATTTTTTTCAATATATTTTCTGTAGTGGCTCGCCGAAGTGCGTATAATTTGATATACTTAGAAAAAATATCAATTATTGCCAATATATATTTTGCACCAAACTGCCCCTTGGGAAGTGGTCCCATCAGATCCAACGAAACCGTATGTCTTGGTCCTTCTGGTATATTGGATAGTATTGGTCCCCTGGACAGTTGATTATTAATTTTGCTTCGTTGACACAGGTCACATGATTTGGTAATGCGCTTCACTGCTCGATACATATTCTTCAGTTGGTAATTATGTCTGAGCACTTCATATGTTTTATATGTCCCTGCGTGTCCGAAGTGTTCATGGGTTTCTTGAATAAGCTGTTGGTTCATAACACTTGGTACCATAGCCCGATACTTGTTATTTTTTCCTATCGAAAATAGTATACCTTTGTGTATTAGGAACCGTTCCTGGGGTTTTTTTGTTACTTGATGTATTAGGTTTCTTAACTTAGGATCTTGTTGTTGTAGTTCGCCAAATCTTGAAAACTGTTTTTGTAATTTGTCACTATAATCGATCAGCATAAGTCGATTCAATGTGAGGTTAATACATTTAGTCCTTTCGCACTCATCAGGGTGTTGTGGATACCTGGTTAGAGTATCTGCACCAACATTTTCTTTCCCCGGGATATGTATAATGGTTAAGTTGTATTCTTGGAGAATTATTGACCAACGAGCAAGTCTACTGTTTAATAACTGGCATTTATGTAAAAATGCTAGGGCTTGATGATCTGTCATTACGTTGATTGGATAGCCCAATATATAGTTTCGGAACTTCTTACAACCAAAAACGATAGCTAATAGTTCTAGTTCTGTAGTGTGATAGCGTTGTTCAGCTTCGTTCAGTGTTCGGCTGACAAATCCTAAGGTTTGATGTTTGTTTTCTTCGTTGATTTGAAATAATTCGGCCCCTATATGCGTCCCAGAGGCGTCCGTTGATAGGTAAAAAGGTTTGGTGAAATCTGGATATTGAATTATGATATCTTCTAAGAATAGATTTTTGATTTGTTCAAATGCATCTTGTTGTTCTTTTCCCCATACCCATGGGTTGTGTTTTTTTAACAGTTTGCTTAATACAGCCGTGAATTCAGACAGATCTCTGATATACTTCCGATAGAAGTTTATGAATCCGAGAAATGATTGTACTTGTTTTTTATTATGCGGTGGTTGGAAGTTCTGGATAGTCTTTATTTTTTCGGGATCCATCATGATGCCTTCTTCGGAGATGATGTGCCCCAAAAATAATATTTGTGGTTGTAAGAAATGTGACTTTTTTATGTTGATCTTCACGTTGTACTCTGAAAACCTTTTAAATATCGCTTCTAGGTGTTGCATATGTTCTTGAAATGTTTTTGACATAATGTGTATGTCATCAACATAGATGGCCATATATTGTAGGAGTTCTGGTCCCAATATGGAGTCCAACATTTTCTGGAACTCCGCAACTGAATTGACAAGTCCGAAAGGTAATACTTGAAACTGGTAGTTTCGTCCCCTGTACAGGAACGCGGTGATTTCACGGCATTCTGGGCGTAGCTCACATTGCCAATAGCCGGAAGTTAGGTCGATTGAACTCAAGTATTTGGTCCCCTTGAACTTCATTAAAATTTCTTCAATGTTTGTAGGGCATTCCCTATCAGGTATTATGCGTTGATTAATTTTTCGTGCGTCCAGACATAGTCGTATATCGCCGTTTCTTTTTTCGACGCTGACTATAGGTGACGACCAGGGTGATGTAGACCGTTCAATTATATTTAAGTTCAGCATCCTTTGGATTTCGTCGTCCATTCTTGATAATTTCGACATTGGTATCGGGTAAGGTCTTTGGTGTATTGGTTCCCCTTCCCGAATCTTGATCTGACATTGTAATTTTTTTATTCTGCCAGGTTCATTGGAAAATATCTGTTCATATTTTTTAATAAGTTGTTCACATTTTTCTTTTTCTTCGTGTTTTTTGTCATCTATGTCGTCTTCTTCGGTAACTGCAATGTTGTTGATATTTGTGTGTCGTGGAGTATTGATATTGCATTTTTCCGAAAATGGTGTAATTAATATGTCCTTATCGATCTCCCATTTAATAGTTTTATTTTCAAAATTGATTCGTGCTTTATATTCTTTTAGTATATCAGCTCCAATAATACCACGTTCATTGAGGTTTTCAATTTGTATGAAATTATTGAATACGAATTTGTCCCCTATTTTACATTGACAGAATATTTGTTTGGCAATTTTACATATTTTTTTCCCAACGGCGTTACTAATTTGTACTCCCGTCACCGGAAATATTGGTATCTTGTTGTTTCTGCGTAACATTTTATCGATCACTTCTTTGGTTAATACGCTAATAGTAGCTCCGGTATCAACGAGTAATCTTATTGGTTCGCCCTCGATTTCACATTGGATATAGGGGCTGACATTTTCATTTCCTGTAGACATAGTATTTATCGTGTGCGTTATTGGTGTTGGTAGTTGGTTGTTATCCCGATGTGTATCTGTAGTGTTATCATTAATCTGTTCGATATTTATTTGGTTAATGCGTTGTGGGTTTCTCCACTCACTTTGGTGGTTATTTTGACTGTTACTGTTATTAGGTGGCGTGCGATGCTCCCAATTGTTGTATCGTCCTCGGTTACCTTGGTACTGATTTCTTTGACTGTTATTGGTATTTGGATTGTTCTGCGTATTTTGATTTTCCCTTTGACCTGATTGGTGGTTGTTGTATTGTCGGTTATCACCATTTGTATTTGTCTGGTGATGGTTTCTTTGTAAATTGTTTTCTGAGGTGGTGACCAGGGTTTTACTTCTTCGGCTCTCCTCAGCTCCTAGTACTTTCATAGCATTGACTACTGATTTGTCCTGGAGGGATAGTAATATTGCCCTCAAATGACCTGGGTAGTGATTAGCTATGTTGTGTATGATTTCCTCTTCCGATAGTTCGGGAACTTGTAGATGTCGTAGTTTAGATGCCCATCTTGCAAAATGCTCCCGATATGTGATGTTTTCTAATACCTGTGTGGTGTTTAGGCACTCACTCCATGTTTGTATTTGAATTTGTCTCGACCAAAATTCATCGATAAAAGCATCTCTAAAATCAAAATAATTTCTAATTTGAAATTTGACGGTTGAATACCAATTACTGGCTGCGTTTTTTAAACAGTCTCGCACTATAATTAATTTTTCTTCGCGATTTATTTGTTTTATTTTGAAATATTCTTCCAAATTTTGTAAGAATTCGATTGGATGTGGATCTTTATTGTTGGCCCAAAATAATGGTTTAGATAATTCAATGTTTGAATTTCTTCGATCATCGTTCACATTGTATGTATTTGGATTAATAAATGTTTTTCTCAAATTTTCGATATTTTCTTGGTTTTGTCGTTCCAGATTTTGTATTTTCTGACGATGTTCTTCATTATTTCTTTCAATTTCTATTTTACATCGTTCTTCAACTTCTTCGATTTTTTTATTATTTTCATTTTCTGTGTTATTATATTTTTCTTCCAATTTATTTATTTTTTGCAATAACTGATCTACTAGGTATTGACTATTTCTTTCAACTTCACGTTTAAATGCATTGAAATCTTCTTCAGAGACAGTTTTCTTTGGTGCCATTTTAAAACAGATGTAGATTTTTCCTTTGTTTATACTTGAGATGTATTACGAAGTAGATTTTTATAGACGGGGTTCGTGGTACGAATTACACGTTCTTGAATCGAGCTCCGTAGTTGGGCGCCAATTGTAAGAATGCAAAACACAATTGATTTTATTTATATATAATTATGTGTTTTTATTCTCACGTAAATGAATTTTAATAAAATAAATCAATGGTTGTACAATATTTTCTTTTGAACTTTAATGCTCTTCGAGCTACAGACAGGTTTATTGATATTCAGATCCGATTTAACGTTTTATTAAATCATAAATGTTACAGTATATTCTTTTGTGTACATTAATGCTCTTCGAGCTACAGTTTAAGTTTATTTGTTCGGGGAAGAATATAAAGACTCACGTAGTAGATAGTTGTTCTCCACGTAATCGGCTTTTGTCAACGTAGGCACACTCCTCTGGCACTGGCACGGGGTAGGGCGTAGTTGAGCTCTTCAAATAGCAGCAGCGGTAATAACAGCGGCGACTATATTGGTAACGGCGGCGGTATTTGCAACGGCGGCGGTTCTTACAACGGC